CAGCAGACAGGAGAGTAGTCGGGGTCCAGGCAGGCAGAAGGCAGGAGAATAGTCGGGGTCCAGGCAGGCAGAAGGCAGGAGAATAGTCGGGGTCCAGGCAGGCAGAAGGCAGGAGAGTAGTCGGGGTCCAGGCAGGCAGAAGACAGGAGAGTAGTCGGGGTCCAGGCAGGCAGCAGGCAGGAGAATAGTCGGGGTCCAGGCAGGCAGAAGGCAGGAGAATAGTCGGGGTCCAGGCAGGCAGAAGGCAGGAGAATAGTCGGGGTCCAGGCAGGCAGAAGGCAGGAGAGTAGTCGGGGTCCAGGCAGGCAGAAGGCAGGAGAATAGTCGGGGTCCAGGCAGGCAGAAGGCAGGAGAGTAGTCGGGGTCCAGGCAGGCAGAAGGCAGGAGAGTAGTCGGGGTCCAGGCAGGCAGCAGACAGGAGAGTAGTCGGGGTCCAGGCAGGCAGCAGACAGGAGAATAATCGGGGTCCAGGCAGGCAGCAGACAGGACAGTAGTCGGGGTCCAGGCAGGCAGCAGACAGGAGAATAATCGGGGTCCAGGCAGGCAGCAGACAGGACAGTAGTCGGGGTCCAGGCAGGCAGCAGACAACAGAGTAGTCGGGGTCCAGGCAAGCAGAAGGTAGGAGAGTAGTCAGGGTCCAGGCAGGCAGAAGGCAGGAGAGTAGTCAGGGTCCAGGCAGGCAGAAGGCAGGAGAGTAGTCAGGGTCCAGGCAGGCAGAAGGCAGGAGAGTAGTCGGGGTCCAGGCAGGCAGAAGGCAGGAGAGTAGTCGGGGTCCAGGCAGGCAGAAGGCAGGAGAGTAGTCAGGGCCAAGGCAGGAGAGTAGCAGGGGTCCAAGAACCCAGGATAAAAAAGAGTAAAATGCGTGGCCCCTTTCCTGCTTCTATGAGCTGTGAAATATCCTGGCAGCATAGATTGCAGGTCCTGACCTTTCTGCATCCCCTTTTGCTAGAGTGCCATGGCAGCTGCCTCTTCTGCCCACCCCTTGGCCCAGCCCTGATCTCGCCTACAGAATCGGCACCCAAAGCAGTAGCGGAGTGACGTCTCACATACTGATGAACCAAGAGGCCGGCATGGAGTGATGGATCTACAGTAGGCACAAGGGGCGCAGGAGCAGCCAGGCCTCCAGAACTGTAGTGGCCACACACACCAGCTAATATTGGAACCCCTGCAGGCGCCTGGCAGTCAGCTGCATATAATGCCACAAAAGTCATTTTTTCACGAAAGGAGTTGTCAGAATGGTGCAATGTGTCTATTTTGGGGTTCACAACCTTTCCGAATTCAGAACTGCAACCTAAAAGTAACAAAAATGAAACAAAACGCATCATGAATGGAATGACCCCTTAGGTGGCTGCGAAGGGTTAACACCCCCGAGACCCCCACATTCCACAATGACATCCCCCTTCATCGCACTTTAAGGCGTCCAGCATGTGCACAGAGTGTGCCAGATGAAAAGCTTTCGCGGCCACCCACGGACGCTCAGCCTGGGGGGGCGGAGGGGAAAGGGTTGCCATGGCAACAGCATCAGGCTCCTTTACATCAGCGAGTCTCGGGGAACGAGAAGGGATTGTGAATAGGTGAGCGAATCGCAGGGGGAGGGAGAGCGACAGAGCCGGCCAATGACAGGTGACACCAGGCCACTTATGTAAGAGATCTGAGAGAAGCACCGGGGGCCACGGAGCATGCGAGAGAGTATGGACCACGGATCTGTGGAATGCGTTCCTGATCATATCTGCCAATCAAAGTGCAGCAAGAACATAAAATACAATAATATACTAAACATTCGCTACACCGGAGCCGGGATTGGTCACCTCCACCTCCGACATTACCTGATGACCGAGCATATAAAAGCATTCCCCAGTTCCTACCCCCTCCCCACACCCCACCCCACATTCTAATGTACGCTATATTGCCCCAAGCATAGGGCCCCGGCCTTTCCACACACATGACCGTTCATGGCCCCCCAGTCTTAGTCCGTAGGGTTCAATATTGAGTTGGCCCCGCCCTTTCCCCACACATGACCGTTCATGGCCCCCCAGTCTTAGTCCGTAGGGTTCAATATTGAGTTGACCCCGCCCTTTCCACGCACATGACCGTTCATGGCCCCCCAGTCTTAGTCCGTAGGGTTCAATATTGAGTTGGCCCCGCCCTTTCCCCACACATGACCTTTATTGGCCCCCCAGTCTTAGTCCATAGGGTTCAATATTGAGTTGGTCCCGCCCTTCCCACGCACATGACCTTTAATGGCCCCCAGTTTTAGTCCGTAGGGTTCAATATTGACTTGGCCCCGCCCTTTCCACGCACATGACCTTTAATGGCCCCCCAGTCTCAGTCCGTAGGGTTCAATATTGAGTTGGCCCCGCCCTTTCCACCCACATGACCTTTAATGGCCCCCCAGTCTTAGTCCGTAGGGTTCAATATTGAGTTGGCCCCGCCCTTTCCACACACATGACCTTTAATGGCCCCTCCCAGTCTTAGTCCGTAGGGTTCAATATTGAGTTGGCTGGCCTTCCCACACACATGACCTTTAATGGCCCCCCAGTCTCAGTCCGCAGGGTTCAATATTGAGTTGGGCCCCGCCCTTTCCACACACATGACCTTTAATGGCCCCCAGTTTTAGTCCGTAGGGTTCAATATTGAGTTGGCCCCGCCCTTTCCATGCACATGACCTTTAATGGCCTCCCAGTCTTAGTCCGTAGGGTTCAATATTGAGTTGGCCCCACCCTTTCCACGCACATTACCTTTAATGGCCCCCCAGTCTTAGTCCGTAGGGTTCAATATTGAGTTGGCCCCGCCCTTTGCAGCTATAACAGCTTCAACTCTTCTGGGAAGGCCCCCCACAAGGTTTAGGAGGGTGTCTATGGGAAGGTTGGACCATTCTTCCAGAAGCACATTTGTCAGGTCAGGCACTGATGTCGGGGGGAGGAGGCACTAATGTCGGGGGAGGAGGCCTGGCTCGCAGTCTCCGCCCTAATTCATCCCAAAGGTGTTCTATGGGGTTGAGGTCAGGACTCTGTGCAGGACAGTCAAGTTCCTCCACCCCAAACTGGCTCCTCCATGTCTTTATGGACCTTGCTTTGTGCACTGGTGGGCAGTCATGTTGGAACAGGAAGGGGCCACCCCCAAACTCCTCCCACAATGTTGGGGGAATGAAATTGTCCAAAATGTTGCCTTAAGAGTTCCCTCCACTGGAACTAGGGGGCCAAGCCCAACCCCTGAACAACAACCCCCCGCCATAATCCCCCCTCCACCAAACTTTACACTTGGCACAATGCAGTCAGGAAAGTACCGTTCTCCTGGAAACCACCAAACCCAGACACGTCCATCGAATTGCCAGACAGAACCGTGATTGGTCCCTCCAGAGAACACGTCTCCTCTGCTCTAGAGTCCAGTGGCGGCGTGCTTTACACCACGGCATCTGACGCTTTGCATTGCACTTGGTGATGGAAGGCTTGGATGCAGCTGCTCGGCCATGGAAACCCATTCCATGAAGCTCTCTACGCACTGTTGTTGGGCTCATCTGAAGGCCACACCAAGTTTGGAGGTCTTTAGCTATTGACTCTGCAGACAGTTGGTGACTTCTGCGCACTGTGCGCTTCAGCATGCGCTGACCCCCCCCGCCCTGTCATGTGACGTGGCCTACCACTTGGTGGCTGAGTGGCTGTTGTTCCCAGTTGCTTCCACTTTGTTATAATCCCACTAACAGTTGGTGGAATATTTAGTAGCCAGGAAATGTCACGGATGGACTTATTGCCCAGGTGGCCACCTATCACGGGACCACGCTTGGAGTCACTGAGCTCCTGAGAGCGACCCATTCTTTCACCAATGTTTGTAGAAGCCGTCTGCATGCCTAGGGGCTTGATTGTATACACCTGTGTCCATGGAGGGGATTGTAACACCTGAATCACATGATATGGAGGGGATTGGGACACCTGAATCCCATGATATGGAGGGGATTGGAACACCTGAATCACATGATATGGAGGGGATTGGGACACCTGAATCACATAATATGGTGGTGATTGGAACACCTGAATCACATGGTATGGAGGGCATTGGAACACCTGAATCACATGATATGGAGGGGATTGGAACACCTGAATCACATGATATGGAGGGGATTGGAACACCTGAATCACATGATTGGAGGGGATTGGAACACCTGAATCCCATGATTGGGAGGGGATTGGAGCACCTGAATCCCATGATTGGGAGGGGATTGGAACACCTGAATCACATGATATGGAGGGGATTGGAACACCTGAATCACATGATTGGGAGGGGATTGGAACACCTGAATCACATGATATGGAGGGGATTGGAACACCTGAATCACATGATATGGAGGAAATTGGAACACCTGAATCACATGATATGGAGGGGATTGGAACACCTGAATCACATGATATGGAGGGGATTGGAACACCTGAATCCCATGATTGGGAGGGGATTGGAACACCTGAATCCCATGATTGGGGAGGGGATTGGAACACCTGAATCACATGATACGGAGGGGATTGGAGCACCTGAATCACATGATACGGAGGGGATTGGAACACCTGAATCACATGATGGGGAGGGGATTGGAACACATGAATCACATGATTGGGAGGGGATTGGAACACATGAATCACATGATACGGAGGGGATTGGAACACCTGAATCACATGATTGGGAGGGAATTGGAACACCTTAACCACATGATATGGAGGGGATTGGAACACCTGAATCACATGATATGGAGGGGATTGGGACACCTGAATCACATGATATGGTTGGGATTGGGACACCTGAATCATGGTATGGAGGGCATTGGAACACCTGAATCACATGATATGGAGGGGATTGGAACACCTGAATCACATGATATGGAGGGGATTGGAACACCTGAATCACATGATTGGAGGGGATTGGAACACCTGAATCACATGATTGGAGGGGATTGGAGCACCTGAATCACATGATTGGGAGGGGATTGGAACACCTGAATCACATGATATGGAGGGGATTGGAACACCTGAATCACATGATTGGGAGGGGATTGGAACACCTGAATCACATGATATGGAGGGGATTGGAACACCTGAATCACATGATATGGAGGGGATTGGAACACCTGAATCACATGATATGGAGGGGATTGGAACACCTGAATCACATGATATGGAGGGGATTGGAACACCTGAATCCCATGATTGGGAGGGGATTGGAACACCTGAATCACATGATACGGAGGGGATTGGAGCACCTGAATCACATGATACGGAGGGGATTGGAACACCTGAATCACATGATATGGAGGGGATTGGAACACATGAATCACATGATTGGGAGGGGATTGGAACACCTGAATCACATGATATGGAGGGGATTGGAACACCTGAATCACATGATATGGAGGGGATTGGAACACCTGAATCACATGATATGGAGGGGATTGGAACACCTGAATCACATGATATGGAGGGGATTGGAACACATGAATCACATGATTGGGAGGGGATTGGAACACCTGAATCACATGATATGGAGGGGATTGGAACACCTGAATCACATGATATGGAGGGGATTGGAACACCTGAATCACATGATATGGAGGAGATTGGAACACCTGAATCACATGATATGGAGGGGATTGGAACAACCTGAATCACATGATATGGAGGGGATTGGAACACCTGAATCCCATGATTGGGAGGGGATTGGAACACCTGAATCCCATGATTGGGAGGGGATTGGAACACCTGAATCACATGATACGGAGGGGATTGGAGCACCTGAATCACATGATACGGAGGGGATTGGAACACCTGAATCACATGATATGGAGGGGATTGGAACACATGAATCACATGATTGGGAGGGGATTGGAACACATGAATCACATGATACGGAGGGGATTGGAACACCTGAATCACATGATTGGGAGGGAATTGGAACACCTTAACCACATGATATGGAGGGGATTGGAACACCTGAATCACATGATATGGAGGGGATTGGACACCTGAATCACATGATATGGTTGGGATTGGGACACCTGAATCACATGGTATGGAGGGGCATTGGAACACCTGAATCACATGATATGGAGGGGATTGGAACACCTGAATCACATGATATGGAGGGGATTGGAACACCTGAATCACATGATTGGAGGGGATTGGAACACCTGAATCACATGATTGGGAGGGGATTGGAGCACCTGAATCACATGATTGGGAGGGGATTGGAACACCTGAATCACATGATATGGAGGGGATTGGAACACCTGAATCACATGATTGGGAGGGGATTGGAACACCTGAATCACATGATATGGGGGGGATTGGAACACCTGAATCACATGATATGGAGGAGATTGGAACACCTGAATCACATGATATGGAGGGGATTGGAACACCTGAATCACATGATATGGAGGGGATTGGAACACCTGAATCCCATGATTGGGAGGGGATTGGGAACACCTGAATCACATGATACGGAGGGGATTGGAGCACCTGAATCACATGATACGGAGGGGATTGGAACACCTGAATCACATGATACGGAGGGGATTGGAACACCTGAATCACATGATATGGAGGGGATTGGAACACATGAATCACATGATTGGGAGGGGATTGGAACACCTGAATCACATGATATGGAGGGGATTGGAACACCTGAATCACATGATATGGAGGGGATTGAAAACCTGAATCACATGATATGGAGGGGATTGGAACACCTGAATCACATGATATGGAGGGGATTGGAACACATGAATCACATGATTGGGAGGGGATTGGAACACCTGAATCACATGATATGGAGGGGATTGGAACACCTGAATCACACATGATATGGAGGGGATTGGAACACCTGAATCACATGATATGGAGGGGGAGGGTGGAATACTTGGGGCAATATAGTTTAGCTTTATACATATATATATATGGGGGGGGGGTCACACACGGGAGGGGGGGGGTACATATATATATATGGGGGGGTCACACACGTGGGGAGGGGGGTACATATATATATATGGGGGGTCACACACAGGGGAGGGGGTACATATATATATATGGGGGGGTCACACACGGGGGAGGGGGGTACATATATATATATGGGGGGTCACACACGGGGGGGAGGGGGGTACATATATATATATGGGGGGTCACACACGGGGAGTGGGGTACATATATATATATATGGGGGGTCACACACGGGGGAGGGGGGTACATATATATATATGGGGGGACACACGGGGGGAGGGGGGTACATATATATATATATATATGGGGGACACACGGGGGAGGGGGGTACATATATATATATGGGGGGGTCACACACACGGGGGAGGGGGTACATATATATATATGGGGGGTCACACACGGGGAGGGGGGTACATATATATATATATGGGGAGGGGGGGGGTCACACACGGGGGGGGGGGGTACATATATATATATGGGGGGTCACACACAGGGGAGGGGGGTACATATATATATATGGGGGGTCACACACGGGGAGGGGGGTACATATATATATATGGGGGGGTCACACACGGGGGGGGGAGGGGGGTACATATATATATATGGGGGGGTCACACACGGGAGGGGGGGTACATATATATATATGGGGGGTCACACACGGGGGGGGGTACATATATATATATGGGGGGTCACACACGGGGATGGGGGTACATATATATATATGGGGGGTCACACACGGGAGGGGGGTACATATATATATATGGGGGGGTCACACACGGGGAGGGGGGTACATATATATATATGGGGGGTCACACACGGGGAGGGGGGTACATATATATATATATGGGGGGTCACACACGGGGGGAGGGGGTACATATATATATATGGGGGGGGGGGTCACACACGGGGGAGGGGGGTACATATATATATAATGGGGGGACACACACACACACGGGGGAGGGGGTACATATATATATATGGGGGGTCACACACAGGGGAGGGGGTACATATATATATATGGGGGGGTCACACACAGGGGAGGGGGGTACATATATATATATGGGGGGTCACACACAGGGGAGGGGGGGTACATATATATATATGGGGGGTCACACACAGGGGAGGGGGGTACATATATATATATGGTGGGTGGGGTCACACACAGGGGAGGGGGTACATATATATATATGGGGGGTCACACACGCAGTAAGACGCTGCGATAGCGCGGTGCGATTTCCCCCCACAGTCCGGATGGAGGAGGTTGCGGAGTAATGCGATCCCGGCTATGACACGACTCCTCCCACTGTGTGCTCCACCCCCTGGGTGTGTCCGAGAGAGGAGAGGGGCGGAGTCTGTGAAGGAGAAGCAGGTGGTGTAATGTTAGAGCAGAGCGAGGAATGATGGGGGAGGGGATAGGGGAGGGGTCAGAGCCCCTGTTCTCTGTTGTCTCGGCCCGCCCCCCACAGTGGTGATCCCTCCCTGTGATGGTGAATCCATAATCTTAGTTGTCACCAGAACAGGAAGTGACATCTCCAGTGACTCAATCTAAGAGATTTCCTTCCTCTTCCTGTTCTGGTGACACCATTACCAAAGTAAGTTACCCCTCCCCCGTCCTACATGGATGACACCGGATGTACCGGGAAATAGGTGATGTTTAGGAAGGCGGTCCCCGCCCACATGCCCGCCCACATTCCTTTCAGGAGCTGCTGCCAGCGACAACGGCGGGAAGGGAGGGGATGGGAGGCGTGGCTGCCTTGGGACATGGGGCGTCATCCTTTAGGAGGCTGAGTCCGCCTGGAAGGGAGGAGTTGGCAGCGTAGCCCCCCGCCTATCACGGATGTCTCAGTGCGGACTCCGCCTCCCGGCCTGCACCGCATCGTGACGTCAGCCGGCTGGATTGGTTCTTCCCGGCCGCCGTGCGGGAGGCGGAAGTGTCCGATCCGGAGGGATGAGGAGGCCGCCCGCCGGGCAACACTATGGGCAATATATTCGGGCGGAAGAGACGGAGCCGGTCACCGAGCAGGACAAGGCCGTGCTGGTGAGAGACACCCCAATACCTCCCGGAGACACCCCAATACGTCCCGGAGACACCCCAACACACCCCTCCCTACGCCCAGAGACACCCCAATACCACTCTGTAGACCCGGAGACACCCCATTACCTCCTGGAGACACCCCAATACCACTCTCTACACCCAGAGACACCCCATTACCTCCTGGAGACACCCCAATACTTCCTGGAGACACCCCAATACTGCTCAGAGACACCCCAATACCACTATATGCCCAGAGACACCCCATTTCCTCCCGGAGACACCCCAATAACCACTCTATACACCTGGAGACACCCCAATACCACTCTATACACCTGGAGACACCCCATTATCACCTGGAGACACCATTATTGCCCCCTACACCCGGAGACACCCCAATATCACCTCCCCTACACCTAGTGTGCCCTTCTACCCCCTCAGGTTTGTTGGTGGGGGAAGGGCAGAGTGTGTGACACCCTCCATGCAGTCCAGTGTGTTTTCTGCATCAGTGCTGCCCGAACGCAGGAAATGCGGATCTCAGCGCAGAGGAGAGTAGAAGACGCGGCCATTTCCCTGCACTGGAATGCGATGAAACCCACCGGAACGCATCACAAACACGCATGGAGGAGCGCAGCCGGACCCCGCCCTCAGCACAGGGACCCCGCCCTCAGCACAGGACCCCGCCCTCAGCACAGGGACCCCGCCCTCAGCACAGGGAGGACCCCGCCCTCAGCACAGGGACCCCCGCCCGCCATTTGCAGCTATGTGGGGTCCCTGGAGTAGGGCGCGTGGTCCCTGGGGTGCGGCGTGGGGTCCCTGCCAGTATTTGGGTGGGGGTGTGTGGAGGAGTGGGTGTGTATGATGTGTCCTAATGCCCCCCCCCCCCCCCCATCACTGCACTTCGTGGGGATTAGTTTCTAATCTCTGCCTGGAAGCGGCTCAGGTGTGACCCGACATCCCATAATAACCTCCAATAATCCGCAGGGAGCGCGCTCACATCACACCGGGAGAGCACAGAAATCTGGTGCCGCCGTGCATGGCAGCCAATCAGCTTTCAGGATTCATTCTAAACACACCGTGCTGTCCCTTTACATAGAATGGATCCCGCGAGCCCACAGCTGGTATATATAATATATCTTCCGTGTAGACAGATCGACAAATCCGATACAACATAGAAAAGTCCCAAAGGAAGTGCCAGGAGGTGCTGCTGCTGCACCAGGAAGTGCCAGGAGTGCTGCTGCTGCACCAGGAAGTGCCAGGGAGTGCTGCTGCTAGCTGCGCCAGGAAGTGCTGCTGCTGCGCCAGGAAGTGCTGCTGCTGCGCCATCCAAATCTCCAGTCCCAGAGGATGCCATTGTTGGGGAAAATGAGCACCTTTTCAGCACAGAAGCACTTTTTGCATTTCGCAGCACTTTTTGCATTTCGCAGCACTTTTTTGCATTTCGCAGCACTTTTTGCATTTCGCAGCACTTTTTGCATTTCGCAGCACTTTTTGCATTTCGCAGCACTTTTTGCATTTCGCAGCACTTTTTGCATTTCGCAGCACTTTTTGCATTTCGCAGCACTTTTTGCATTTCGCAGCACTTTTTGCATTTCGCAGCACTTTTTGCATTTCGCAGCACTTTTTGCATTTCGCAGCACTTTTTGCATTTCGCAGCACTTTTTGCATTTCGCAGCACTTTTTGCATTTCGCAGCACTTTTTTGCATTTCGCAGCACTTTTTGCATTTCGCAGCACTTTTTGCATTTCGCAGCACTTTTTGCATTTCGCAGCACTTTTTGCATTTCGCAGCACTTTTTGCATTTCGCAGCACTTTGACGTTTCGCAGCACGGAGCACTTATTCATATTTTATATATGATTTATTTCTGTATTTATCGCTCTTTTCTGTTTACACCGAACCGAAGATATATATATATATAACACCAGTCGTGACACGCGGGATCCATTCACTGGGATCCATTCACTGTACAGGGACGGCGCTCTGTATATTCCATGGTTTCGTCTGCAGAGGGAGTGGTTGCGGCGCACGTTTCGGGTCGGTTGGGCGAATCACAGAGAATTTTTTTATATTCATTTTAGGTTTCATTGTCAGAGCTTCATGGAAGAAGCTGATTGGCTGCCGAGCACAGCGGTACCCAGATTCTGCCCTCCTCCGGTGGCTGTAAATCCCCTCCAATGAGATCGCTCCCAGAGAAAACACAACTTTATAAGTCACATGACTGGATGGTTCCGGAGACCGAGTATAAGCCATCAGTGACAGTTCCATGTTTGTGGGATTCCCCCCCATATCCAGTTAGTGACCCCCCCCCCCTCCGCCCATCAATACCAGTCGGTACCCCCCCCCCCCCATCGTTAACCCAGTCGTGACCCCCCCCCCCCCCCACCGTTACCATCGGTGACCCCCCCCCCCCCCCCCCCACCGTTACCAGTCGGTGACCCCCCCCCCCCCCCCACCGTTACCAGTCGGTGACCCCCCCCCCCCCCACCGTTACCAGTCGGTGACAATCCCCACCCCCCCCCCCACCGTTACCAGTCGGTGACCCCCCCCCCCCCCACCGTTACCAGTCGGAGCGACCCCCCCCCCATCGGTTACCAGTCGGTGACCCCCCCCAATCGTTACCAGTCGGCGTGCGACCCCCCCCCCCCCCCCCCCATCGTTATACCAGTCGGCGACCCCCCCATCGTTACCAGTCGGCGACCCCCCCCATCGTTACCAGTCGGCGACCCCCCCCCCCCCCATCGTTACCAGTCGGCGACCCCCACCCCCCCCCCCCATCGTTTACCAGTCGGCGACCCCCCCCCCCCCATCGTTACCAGTCGGCGACTTCCCCCCCCCCCCCCCCCCCATCGTTACCAGTCGGCGACCCCCCCCCCCCCCCCATCGTTACCAGTCGGTGACCCCCCCCATCGTTACCAGTCGCGACCCCCCCCCCCCCCCCCATCGTTACCAGTCGGCGACCCCCCCCATCGTTACCAGTCGGCGACCCCCCCCCCCCCCCCATCGTTACCCAGTCGGCGACCCCCCCCCCCCCCATCGTTACCAAGTCGGCGACCCCCCCCCCCCCCATCGTTACCAGTCGGCGACCCCCCCCCCCCCCCCCATCGTTACCAGTCGGCGACCCCCCCCCCCCCCCCATCGTTACCAGTCGGCGACCCCCCCCCCCCCCATCGTTACCAGTCGGCGACCCCCCCCCCCCCCATGGTCGGTGACCCCCCCCCCATCGTTACCAGTCGGTGACCCCCCCCCCCATCGTTACCAGTCGGTGACCCCCCCCCCCCCCCCATCGTTACCAGTCGGTGACCCCCCCCCCCCATCGTGACCCCCCCATCGTTTACCAGTCGGTGACCCCCCCCATCGTTACCCAGTCGGTGACCCCCCCATCGTTTTACCAGTCGGTGACCCCCCCCCCCCCATCGTTACCATCGGTGACCCCCATCGTTACCAGTCGTGATCCCCCACCCCCCCCCCCCCCCATCGTTACCATCGGTGACCCCCCCCCCCCCCATCGTTACCAGTCGGTGACCCCCCCCCCATCGTTACCAGTCCCCCCCCCATCGTTTACCAGTCGGTGACCCCCCCCCCCCCATCCCAGTCGGTGACCCCCCCCCCCCATCGTTACCAGTCGGTGACCCCCCCCCCCCATCGTTACCCAGTCGGTGACCCCCCCCCCCATCGTTACCAGTCGGTGACCCCCCCCCCCCCCCATCGTTACCAGTCGGTTGACCCCCCCCCATCGTTACCAGTCCCCCCCCCCCCCCCATCGTTACCAGTCGGTGACCCCCCCCCCCCCCATCGTTACCAGTCGGTGACCCCCCCCCCCCCCATCGTTACCAGTCGGTGACCCCCCCCCCCCCATCGTTACCAGTCGGTGACCCCCCCCCCCCCCATCGTTACCAGTCGGTGACCCCCCCCCCCCCCATCGTTACCAGTCGGTGACCCCCCCCCCCCCCCATCGTTACCAGTCGGTGACCCCCCCCCCATCGTTACCAGTCGGTGACCCCCCCCCCCCATCGTTACCAGTCGGTGACCCCCCCCCCCCCATCGTTACCAGTCGGTGACCCCCCCCCCCCATCGTTACCAGTCGGTGACCCCCCCCCCCATCGTTACCAGTCGGTGACCCCCCCCCCCCCCATCGTTACCAGTCGGTGACCCCCCCCCCCCCCCATCGTTACCAGTCGGTGACCCCCCCCCCCCCCCCATCGTTACCAGTCGGTGACCCCCCCCCCCCCCCGTTACCAGTCGGTGACCCCCCCCCATCGTTACCATCGGTGACCCCCCCCCCCCCCATCGTTACCAGTCGGTGACCCCCCCCCCCATCGTTACCAGTCGGTGACCCCCCCCCCCATCGTTACCAGTCGGTGACCCCCCCCCCCCCCCCATCGTTACCAGTCGGTGACCCCCCCCCCCCCCCATCGTTACCAGTCGGTGACCCCCCCCCCCATCGTTACCAGTCGGTGACCCCCCCCCCCCATCGTTACCAGTCGGTGACCCCCCCCCCCCATCGTTACCAGTCGGTGACCCCCCCCCCCCCATCGTTACCAGTCGGTGACCCCCCCCCCCCCCATCGTTACCAGTCGGTGACCCCCCCCCCCATCGTTACCAGTCGGTGACCCCCCCCCCCCCATCGTTACCAGTCGGTGACCCCCCCCCCCCATCGTTACCAGTCGGTGACCCCCCCCCCCCCCATCGTTACCAGTCGGTGACCCCCCCCCCCCATCGTTACCAGTCGGTGACCCCCCCCCCCCATCGTTACCAGTCGGTGACCCCCCCCCCCCATCGTTACCAGTCGGTGACCCCCCCCCCCCATCGTTACCAGTCGGTGACCCCCCCCCCCCCATCGTTACCAGTCGGTGACGACCCCCCCCCCCCATCGTTACCAGTCGGTGACCCCCCCCCCCCATCGTTACCAGTCGGTGACCCCCCCCCCCATCGTTACCAGTCGGTGACCCCCCCCCCCCCCCATCGTTACCAGTCGGTGACCCCCCCCCCCCCATCGTTACCAGTCGGTGACCCCCCCCCCCCATCGTTACCAGTCTCGGTGACCCCCCCCCCATCGTTACCAGTCGGTGACCCCCCCCCCCCATCGTTACCAGTCGGTGACCCCCCCCCCCCCCATCGTTACCAGTCGGTGACCCCCCCCCCCCCATCGTTACCAGTCGGTGACCCCCCCCCCCCATCGTTACCAGTCGGTGACCCCCCCCCCCCATCGTTACCAGTCGGTGACCCCCCCCCCCCCATCGTTACCAGTCGGTTACCCCCCCCCCCCCCCCCCCCCCCCCATCGTTACCAGTCGGTGACCCCCCCCCCCCCATCGTTACCAGTCGGTGACCCCCCCCCCCCCATCGTTACCAGTCGGTGACCCCCCCCCCCCATCGTTACCAGTCGGTGACCCCCCCCCCCCCATCGTTACCAGTCGGTGACCCCCCCCCCCCCATCGTTACCAGTCGGTGACCCCCCCCCCCCCATCGTTACCAGTCGGTGACCCCCCCCCCCCCCCCCCATCGTTACCAGTCGGTGACCCCCCCCCCCATCGTTACCAGTCGGTGACCCCCCCCCCCCATCGTTACCAGTCGGTGACCCCCCCCCCATCGTTACCAGTCGGTGACCCCCCCCCCATCGTTACCAGTCGGTGACCCCCCCCCCCCATCGTTACCAGTCGGTGACCCCCCCCCCCATCGTTACCAGTCGGTGACCCCCCCCCCCCATCGTTACCAGTCGGTGACCCCCCCCCCCCCATCGTTACCAGTCGGTGACCCCCCCCCCCCCCATCGTTACCAGTCGGTGACCCCCCCCCCCCATCGTTACCAGTCGGTGACCCCCCCCCCCCCCCCATCGTTACCAGTCGGTGACCCCCCCCCCCCCCCCCCCCCCCATCGTTACCATCGGTGACCCCCCCCCCCCATCGTTACCAGTCGGTGACCCCCCCCCCCCCCATGTTCTAGCTCTGTTCGCTGATCCCTGCTGAGCAGGCAGATGAATGGTCTGTGTCCGCTCTGTTCAGCCGGCTCTGTGGGGCAGTTGGGTGTTAATGGACCTCCTGGCTGTTTATATCCGGCTGTCATCCAATCAGATCTGTGGACCAAACGCATCCCCACCCATGTGGTTTTGGTGGATCGGTTTACATTCGCCTCCCCAGAGAGGACAATGGAGGGTCTGATTGGGGCCTCTAGAAAGGCAGACAGATGGACCTGGTTGGCCCGCTTGTGTGGGAGGGTTCTGCGCTTTCCTGCCTTGGTCCTTGTCCCCCCCCCCCCCCCCATACTATTCATCATTGTGGACACGTGTAGTCCTGGAGGATTCCGTCAGCAGTTGGAGGGGGGGGGGCTGGGATCCCTCAGCAGTTGGGGGGGGGGGGGGGGGGGGGCTGGGATCTCTCAGCAGTTGGGGGGGGGGCTGGGATCTCTCAGCAGTTGGGGGGGGGGGGGGGGCTGGGATCTCTCAGCAGTTGGGGGGGGGGGGGGCTGGGATCTCTCAGCAGTTGGGGGGGGGGGGGCTGGGATCTCTCAGCAGTTGGGAGGGGGGGGCTGGGATCTCTCAGCAGTTGGGAGGGGGGGCTGGATCTCTCAGCAGTTGGGAGGGGGGGCTGGGATCTCTCAGCAGTTGGGAGGGGGTTGGGATCTCTCAGCAGTTGGGAAGGGGGTTGGGATCTCTCAGCAGTTAGAGGGGGGGGGGGGTGCTGGGATCTCTCAGCAGTTGGGGGGGGGGAGTTGGGATCTCTCAGCAGTTTGGGGGGGGGGAGTTGGGATCTCTCAGCAGTTTGGGGGGGGGGGAGTTGGGATCTCTCAGCAGTTTGGGGGGGGGGGGAGTTGGGATCTCTCAGCAGTTTGGGGGGGGGGGGGGGTGGGATTCTCAGCAGTGTGGGGGGGGGGGGTGTGTGTTGAGATTTCTCAGCAGTTGGGGGGGGGGGGGGGAATGGGATCTCTCAGCAGTTGGGGGGAGGGGGGGGTTTATCAGCAGTGGGAAGGGGGGGGGGTTGGGTTTGTTCAGCAGTTGGGAGGGGAGGAGGGGGGAGGGCTGGGATCTCTCAGCAGTTGGGGGGGTTGGGATTTCTCAGTGATGAATCGTTGCTCCCGGATGCCGTGTCGGTTGCGGCGTGTCGGTTGCGGCGTGTCGGTTGCGGCGTGTCGGTTGCGGCGTGTCGGTTGCGGCGTGTCGGTTGCGGCGTGTCGGTTGCGGCGTGTCGGTTGCGGCGTGTCGGTGCGGCGTGTCGGTTGCGGCGTGTCGGTTGCGGCGTGCGGTTGCGGCGTGTCGGATGCGGCGTGTCGGATGCGGCGTGTCGGATGCGGCGTGTCGGATGCGGCGTGTCGGATGCGGCGTGTCGGTTGCGGCGTGTCGGATGCGGCGTGTCGGTTGCGGCGTGTCGGTTGCGGCGTGTCGGTTGCGGCGTGTCGGTTGCGGCGTGTCGGTTGCGGCGTGTCGGTTGCGGCGTGTCGGTTGCGGCGTGTCGGTTGCGGCGTGTCGGTTGCGGCGTGTCTGTTGCGGCGTGTCGGTTGCGGCGTGTCGGTTGCGGCGTGTCGGTTGCGGCGTGTCGGTTGCGGCGTGTCGGTTGCGGCGTGTCGGTTGCGGCGTGTCGGTTGCGGCGTGTCGGTTGCGGCGTGTCGGATGCCGTGTCGGATGCCGTGTCGGATGCCGTGTCGGGATGCCGTGTCGGATGCCGTGTCGGTTGCCGTGTCGGTTGCCGTGTCGGTTGCCGTGTCGGATGCCGCGTCGGTTGCCGCGTCGGTTGCCGTGTCGGTTGCCGTGTCGGTTGCGGCGTGTCGGTTGCGGCGTGTCGGTTGCGGCGTGTCGGTTGCGGCGTGTCGGTTGCGGCGTGTCGGTTGCGCCGTGTCGGATGCCGTGTCGGTTGCCGTGTCGGTTGCGGCGTGTCGGTTGCCGTGTCGGTTGCCGTGTGGATGGGCTGATTGGCTGATTGTAGATATTTCTTGTATTGCAGCAAACTGAAGCAGCAGAGGGACAAGCTGAAGCAATATCAGAAGAAGATCGCCCTCCAACTGCAACGTGAGCGGGAACTGGCCAAACAGCTTCTCCATGATGGCAAGAAAGAGTGAGTCCGCCTTCTGTCCTCCGGGGCCCCAAAGATCCGGTTGGGGCCCCACAGATCCGGTCGGGGTCAGCACTGGGGGGGTCAGTATAGCGGTGCCAGCCGGCATTCAGGAGGTGAATCTGCTGCACCTGAATATCTGACCCCGGCGGTGAGGATTGGCTGGAGGTGTCTGTGGGGTCCCAGTGACCTCGGGGGGGGGGGGGTACAGGTGGTGCCTCCGGTCAGACTTTGCATTCGGTATCAATTGTAATTGCCGGGACTCCCCCATCACCCTTCCAGTCCCCAACTGACCACACTGAGCGTGGAAGCCTATCTGTGCATTTGTTACCTTAATGCATCCCCTGCATTGTCTGCATAGCGTGTCCATAGCGCGTGCGTGTCCATAGCGCGTGCGTGTCCATAGCGCGTGTCTGTATAGCGCATGTCTCTGTCCATAGCTTGTGTGTACGTTCGTCCGTGTCTATAGCGCGCGTGTGTCCATGTCCATAGTGTGTGACCATAGCGCATGTGTCCATAGCACGTGTGTGTGCATCCGTGTCCATAGTGTGTGTCCATAGTGTGTATGTGTGTCCATGTTAGTGCGTGTGTCCATGTCCATAGCAATTGTGTGTGTGCAGCCGTGTCCATCGTTTCTGCCGTTTCTGCCCCCCACACTGCTACCGGCTGTATTTGCAGCTGCTGGTTTGGGGGGGCCTCTTGCTGGGGGGTCGCCGTTGGTCAGTACAGCAGGGCTGGTCGGGGGTGGGGTATGTACTGACTATAGGAGGTACAGGCACACCGCCCATTGGTTTGGCCTCCTGCATCTCCAGAAGAGGAAACCATGAGATGCAGACTGGCTATGACTACATGTCGCCCGCTGACTCCCCCGACCTCCTGCTATGTGCCCCCCAGTAGGGAGATTCCCCCCTCCCTGATTACCTCTCACATTGATGGTGAAAGGAAACCCCACATTTTGGGTTGTCACCAGAATAGAGGGGAAACCTTCCAATGGGGACCCTGGTTCTGAGATTTCCTCACTTCCTGTTTTGTTCATGGGACAGGAAGTGAAGGGAAATCTCCCCAATAGGACAGGAACCCTCCCTTACTCCATCCACAATGACAATAGTTTTCTTTCATTTTCCTTTAAATATTTTTCTGTTCTCTGTTTCCAGTTCACAGGAATTTGATAAAAGTTGTCCCTTCTGTCTGCGGAGCCCGCCCCCTTCTGTCTGCGGAGCCCGCCCCCTTCTGTCTGCGGAGCCCGCCCCCTTCTGTCTGCGGAGCCCGCCCCCTTCTGTCTGCGGAGCCCGCCCCCCTTCTGTCTGCGGAGCCCGCCCCCTTCTGTCTGCGGAGCCCGCCCCCTTCTGTCTGCGGAGCCCGCCCCCTTCTGTCTGCGGAGCGCCCGCCCCCTTCCCGCCTCCATTCGTCACATTCCAGACTTTTCCTTTTTGTATTTTCCCAGAAAAGCCAAATTGCTGCTGAAGAAGAAGAGATATCAGGAGCAGCTGCTGGAGAAGACGGAGAATCAGATGAGCAACCTGGAGAAGATGGTGAGCCCGTCATCCCATTGGTTCCCTTTCTACCAATCAGTGTCACTTTCTAGCTGACCTCCAAGCTGGCCCAAGGCGTGTCCCTCACATGTGCAGCATAAACTGTATATAGCTGAGGCTCCGTATACAGCAGCGCGGTGTTCCGGGAGCGGGCCGACACCTTCCCATCTCAGACCCGGAACACAATAGCGTCTCTCTGGTGCTCAGCCATTCATAGAAAGCGATCTATCCATGGATACAAGGCTTCCTGTGATTGGATGAGTCGGAAGTTGTGGCATCATCAGCCCACCTCTGACTCATCCAATCACAGGAAGCCTTGTATCCATCCATATGTATAGTGTCGGAGACACATCATCCCCCCCCCCCCCCCCAGCATGTGACCGCGGTACACCCAACCCATCGGTCCAGCGCGCATTTCCCTCTTCCCCGGTTCTGGTGGTTGGAATACGTTTACAATCGCTGCTACAAGGGTGGTAAAATCTCGTCTTTCCTTTTTCTGATCTCTCCAGGTGGAAGACATCGAATTTGCTCAGATTGAAATGAAAGTCATCGAAGGCTTGAAAATCGGCAACGATTGCTTGAAGAAGATGCATGAGGTGAGTGTGAGCTGCGGGGGGGTCAGAGGGCACAGGGTGGCGTCACTCCCCATGTTCTGCCCCGTCGGGGTCTGCCCCCCCCCACTACAATCACGTTACCCCTGACAGGTGGCACCTGTCGCAGAACCTCGCGTTCCCACCGTGCCCCCAGCACCACGCGTTCCCGCTGTGCCCCCAGCACCCCGTCATGCTTGTAACTGTCAGTTCCAAGCCTCATGGGACATGTAGTCCCACAACAGCTGGATGGCTGCAGTTGCCACCAATGTGCTGAGCTCCTGTGGATGTCGGAGTCTCTCTGACCCGCTCCTCCTCAGGAAGAAGGGTGAGCCGCACCGGACGATTGATGAATATCATGCGTATTTATTGATCTGTCGGACACACAACACCAGGACAGGAATACAGGACCTGGCAACGCGTTTCACGCCATCTCCTGCTTCATCATAACAAACAAAAACCACAAAAGTGCATCTTCTGTCGGTATTCGTGAATAAGGAACACCCGCCCTGATCAGCACTCCGGAACCCTGAGGGTACGCCTACCGATACATTGTGACAAGACATAGAACCATTGTATCATTGAACCATTGTATCATTGAACCATTGTATCATTGAACCATTGTATCATTGTATCTTTGTATCATTGTATCTTTGTATCATTGTATCTTGGGATATTTACTCACTTTTATCTCTTTGTTCTATTTTTCATTTATAATGTTTTCACAATTATTATCCTTTTTTTCTTTTCTTCCTTTCTTGCTCTCTGAGATCACTACTTCTGATACAATGGTTCTATGTTTTGTTACACCCCAGCTTTACAGCACTGGGTCCTCCATTCATATCCTGGCCTGCATGGAGTTTGCATGTTTTACCTGTGTGGGTTTCCTCTGGTTACTCCGGTTTCCTCCCACACTCCAAAGACATGCAGGTAGGTCAATGGCTCCCATGTGAAGTGCTGTGTACACTCTGGGCGGTATATAAATACCTGGAATAAACAATACAGAAATAATAACCTACAGCGCCGTAGGCGGGATGGACATCTGCACACCCTTCGGTCGCTCGGGTCATGTCGCCGCCCCCCCCCCCCCTTCGGGCGCTCGGGGCATGTCACCGCCGCCCCCCCCTTCGGGCGCTCGGGGCATGTCGCCGCCCCCCCCTTCGGGCGCTCGGGGCATGTCGCCGCCCCCCCCCTTCGGGTGCTCGGGTCATGTCGCCGCAAAACGCAGTTCTAATTGGCTGAGCGTGGATGTTGGGAAGAAGTGTGTGGCTCCAAATCACTGAAGTCGCAGCTAATACAGGGCCAGAGACTGCTGATTGGCCTAGGGCTCAGTCACATGTTCATCGGGGGTTTTCTCTCCTCAGCAGCTGAATTTGGGGACCGGTGAGTACGTACTGCTGGGGAGGGATTAAAGGATAAGTTCACCTTTTGGAAAGTTCTATATTCCAGCTCCCCAGATCGCCCTCTCATTGTGACAGCCGGGGGAGGGGTCCTCCTCTTCCCCACCCCCACAATTCACGGCCATGCGAGGCTCTACCCACACCGCCACATCATTCGCTTTGATTTGCATGCATGAACTACAAGTCCCATCAGCCAGTGCTGGGGGTTGTTTGAGGTGCAAATCCACTTCAAGAGCTCTGCAGTTGACTTGTTTGGTCTTTTTCAGGTGATGTCTATAGAAGAGGTGGAGAGGATCATGGATGAGACGCAGGAAGGCATCGACTACCAGAGAGTAAGTTATTGCACTGTATGAACTGTAGGGGGCAGCACATGGAGCTCCAGGACAGAGCAGCGGCTGACTTGGCCCTGGGCTACTATATATAGTGACGGGGGGGAGGTGCATTGGACTGGAAGCTCCTCGGGGGCGGTCTCTATGAACGTTTTTTTTATTTGGACAGATCTGGATATTCTGTAGTACAAAGTTGCAGGCGGAGGGGTGTCATCATGGGAGGGGTGTCATCATGGGAGCCGTTGCAGCAGATAATGGCGTTTCCCCTTTTTGCGGCACTTAATGGCGTCTCCCCCTTTTTGCGGCAGATAATGGCGTCTCCCCTTTTTTGTGGCACTGGATGGCGTCTCCCCTTTTTTGTGGCACTGGATGGCGTCTCCCCCTTTTTTGTGGCACTGGATGGCGTCTCCCCCTTTTTTGTGGCACTGGATGGCGTCTCCCCCTTTTTTGTGGCACTGGATGGCGTCTCCCCCTTTTTTGTGGCACTTGATGGCGTCTCCCCCTTTTTTGTGGCACTTGATGGCGTCTCCCCCTTTTTTGTGGCACTTGATGGCGTCTCCCCCTTTTTTGTGGCACTGGATGGCGTCTCCCCCTTTTTTGTGGCACTGGATGGCGTCTCCCCCTTTTTTGTGGCACTGGATGGCGTCTCCCCCTTTTTTGTGGCACTTGATGGCGTCTCCCCTTTTTTTGTGGCACTTGATGGCGTCTCCCCCTTTTTTGTGGCACTTGATGGCGTCTCCCCTTTTTGCGGCACTTGATGGCGTCTCCCCTTTTTGCGGCAGATAATGGCGTCTCTCCTTTTTGCAGCAAATCGATGAACTTCTGGCTGGAAGTCTGACCATGGAGGATGAGGAGGCGATTCTAGAAGAACTGGAGGCCATCACTCAGGTAAGGGGTCGGTATGGATGCGACTTCAGGGGAATCCTCCAGTCATCATGGAGCTGCAATGTGAATGCAGGATAGGTGTGGAGACACCGGAGACCCTTCATCTGGGTGTCACCACAGAAAGGGTCACCTCTGTGGTAGGGATGCACCCACACTTGTACTCACCGATACCTTTGCGGTGCGATTTGAGACCATACAAAATGAAGGGGCTCCAATCACTCTACAAATAATCGCATACAATACGGTACAATTCCTGTCCGAACCGCATGCAGTTTCCTGCAGCGTCCTGTGTGAACTCGGACTGAAGTCGCTGTGACAAGTCTGGCTTCATACTGCTGCAGTGCGGGAACCGCTTGGGATTCGGACAATAATCGCACCGCATTCCTGTTCAAGTCGCATGTGATTGTTTGCGGTTTGATCGCATTAATTTTGTATGAGCTCAGATCGCAGCACACGGGTATCGCGCAGCATTTCTACGAGTACTTAGTATGGGCACCAATGCCGGTGCGACTCGGATGTATGGAGATCGGTGATCTCCAGCAGAAGGAAGCCTCAAATGTAGAAATCTGCTGGCAGATGGATATTTATGGCAGAAGAGACATGTGACTGCCGCCATGACATCTCTCCCCGCCTCCTAGCAGTTGTGTACAGTGACAGCTGCGCATGTGCGGCTCGGCGTACAATCCCGGCATCCCAGTGTGTGGGGAGGACTGAACGCCGGTCCGGAAGCACGAGAGTTGCATCGTCCCAGCCAACCGAGGAAGCTGAAAATGTCTGATCCTTGAGGAGGACTGGGAAGGAATGGGAGCACCAGAGACCTAACGCCAAGGGAGATCTCGCAGGAGTGGGAAGGAATGGGAGCACCAGAGACCTAGCGGCAAGGGAGTCCCGCAGGAGTGGGAAGGAATGGGAGCACCAGCGACCTAGTGCCAAGGGAGATCCTGCAGGAGTGGGAAGAAATGGGAGCACCAGCGACCTAGCGCCAAGGGAGATCCCGCAGGAGTGGGAAGAAATGGGAGCACCAGCGACCTAGCGCCAAGGGAGATCCCGCAGGAGTGGGAAGAAATGGGAGCACCAGCGACCTAGCGCCAAGGGAGATCCCGCAGGAGTGGGAAGGAATGGGAGCACCAGAGACCTAGCGGCAAGTGAGTCCCGCAGGGCCCAGCGACCTAGCGCCAAGGGAGATCCCGCAGGACTGGGAAGGAATGGGAGCACCAGCGACCTAGCACCAAGGGAGACCCCGCAGGACTGGGAGCACCAACGACCTAGCGCCAAGGGAGACCCCGCAGGACTGGGAGCACCAACGACCTAGCGCCGAGGGAGACCCCGCAGGACTGGGAGCACCAACGACCTAGCGCTGAGGGAGATCCCGCAGGACTGGGAGCACCAGCGACCTAGCGGTAGGGAGTCCTGCAGGACTGGGAAGGAATGGGAGCACCAGCGACCTAGCGGTAGGGAGTCCTGCAGGACTGGGAAGGAATGGGAGCACCAGAGACCTAGCGGCAAGGGAGTCCCGCAGGGCCCAGCGACCTAGCGCCAAGGGAGATCCCGCAGGACTGGGAAGGAATGGGAGCACCAACGACCTAGCGCCGAGGGAGACCCCGCAGGACTGGAGGGGGCGCTGTACAGGGGAAGAGTTCTGATGTGCTGCACATTCCTTCACATCATGATTCCAGGCCAGACTCGGCGCTCCTCCTCATGGGATTTTATCATGTGATTTTTCTGGCCTGTCACATGACTCTCAGGGTCATCTCTGTCTAAGGCAGGGAGCACCGTTGTCACACCTCCTCAGGGGTGGGGCCATAAGGCGCGGCTTTCACAGTGGAATTCTCAGTCTTCTAGGTGGAGTGACTGAGTGTCATTCAACACAGAGGACTGAGGACATCTTGTGATGAGGAGGAGGTACTGCAGGTGACTGCTCTAGTGAGTACAGCTGCCTAAGCCGTGTCAATGGCAGAATTGGGAGGGGCACACCACACTGATCAACTTCAGCTATAGGCCCCGCCCCTCTGATGTGCTCCACCCTGATTGGGCTTTGTCGTAGCTCCCATTGACTAAGCCCAGTCAGGGTGAAACATGTCAGAGGGGCGGGGCCTATAGCTGAAGCCTTTGGTGATCTGTATGGTTGTGCCCCTCCTAATTCTGCCATTGTCCCATGGAGTGAGATGTGCTCCGCCCACTGCGGGAGGAGAACGGACCAGAGAATGCACAGGAGGCGTGTCAGCAATGTGGGGATGTTCATGTGCCTGAGCAGAATGCCGCATTTTTTATGAGATGGATTCCAGATCCGAGAAGACCGAATGTAAACCAATCCGCGCCTTACTGCTGGCCCTTTAACCCCTCCCCCACCATTCTGTGAGTTTCGGATGCAGAAAGCAAGCAACTGAAATGCATGGAGTGTGAAGCGGCCCTGAGGGGTACTTACCTCCGGAGACATTTCCTGGGCTTCTCGGTGATATGATTGCTGTGATTGCCTGTCACTGATCATGTGACTGAGAACCAATCTCGCCTGCTCCTGATTGGAGGTGTCAGTGCAGCCCAGTCACAGCACAGCAGGATGGACTGGACGCATGTATATGGCGTACGGCCCGCGGCGGCACGGATTGGACGCATGTATATGGCATACGGCCCACGGCGGCACGGACTGGACGCATGTATATGGCGTACGGCCCGCGGCGGCACGGACTGGACACATATATATGGTGTACGGCCCGCGGCGGCACAGACTGGACGCATATATATGGTGTACGGCCCGCGGCGGCAGACTGAACGCATATATATGGCGTACGGCCCGCGGCGGCACGGATTGGACGCATGTATATGGCGTACGGCCCGCGGCGGCACGGACTGGACACATGTATATGGCGTACGGCCTGCGGCGGCACAGACTGGACGCATGTATATGGCATACGGCCCGCGGCGGCACGGACTGGACACATAGATGGCATACGGCCCGCGGCGGCACGGACTGGACACATATATATGGCGTACGGCCCGCGGCGGCACGAACTGGACACATAGATGGCATACGGCCCGCGGTGGCACGGACTGGACACATAGATGGCATACGGCCCGCGGTGGCACGGACTGGACACATAGATGGCATACGGCCCGCGGCGGCACGGACTGGACACATATAGATGGCATACGGCCCGCGGCGGCACGGACTGGACACATAGATGGCATATGACCCACAATGGCAGGCGAGCACAGAGTGGCGGCACGGACTGGATGCATATATATGGTGTACAGTCCGCGGCAGCACAGACTTGACATGTGTATATATGGCGTACGGCCCGCGGCGGCAGGTGAGCACAGAGCAGCAGCGCACACACTGGACACATATATATGGCGTACGGCCCGCGGCGGCACAGGCTGGACGCGTGTATATGGCGTACGGCCCGCGGCGGCACGGGCTGGACGCGTGTATATGGCGTACGGGCTGGAGGCGTGTATACGGTGTACGGCCCGCGGCGGCACGGGCTGGAGGCGTGTATATGGCGTACGGCCCGCGGCGGCACGGGTTGGAGGCGTGTATACGGCGTACGGCCCGCGGCGGCGGGTGAGACTTTGATGACGATGTTGTGTGTTCTATTACAGGAAGATGTGGAACTCCCAGCGGTGCCCACAGAGCCTCTCCCATCCCCCACTCCAGGTAGGTGTGTGCGTTTTCCTGGAGAATAGGCAGACATGGAGGAACCTGAGAGAAGTATTACACACAAAGCAGACAAGGGCCCTGGGCCCCCAGCGGCTCCATCAGCTCTGCCTCTGTCCTACTTTCTGTGAAGGAGACCCGTCACCAACCTACACTGCTGATCAATTCCAGAAAAATGGCAGCGGGGTCCCCCCATAAATGATTTATTTACATGCGCTGCCCCTCTGACTCTTCCTGGAGTGTCCATTCCCCAGCACAGGCTCTTCCTCCTCTCACTTCATTAGTATGGAATTACTGTCTATGCTGGCCCAGCTCCTCTGCCCCTCCCTACATAACCTTTTATTTGCTTCCAAAGGAGGAGAGTAATACTATAGAGTGTCACTTGAGTCTACTGGGGGAGGGGCTACTGACATCACATCCAAGATGGCAGCACCCAGCAATAAAGTCATATTACAGGCTTAGGGTCCTCCTTCCGTGTTCTGTAATGATTTTGTGCAGAGCAGCCCCCATCCTCTTGTTGGGTCCCCCCCCCCCCCCCCCAGCACTCCTGCCCCCTACCTTCCCCCCCCGCTGAGTGCCCCCAGAGCTGCTGCTTGCTCAATCCCGAGCTGCGGCTCTCTGTGTCTTATAGGCAGCAGTGGGTGCCAATGGCTCCCGCTTTTATATCTCAGCTCTCCCAGGTCTCTCTCTTCTCATTGGTTGAGGCTCCCACGCACGTCGCTGGATCGGGCTCAGGTAAGTATGGGGGCGTTGAGCAGCGCACAGAATTTTTTTTTCTTTTTTTGCCCTCTTCAGCAGTTTGATCCTGCCTGTCTTCTCTGATGCTCCCCATCTACTACTGTCCCCAATCCATCTGATGATAGTACAGAGCTCTATGAGTCACTCTGCACATCCTCAGTTTGGTGTGTATTGCGGGGGTTTGGGGGAGAGCGGGCGCGGCGAGTGGGGGGGTTTGGGGGGCAGACGGGGTGAGTGCGGAGGTCCGGGGGGGGGGGGGGGGGGGGAGAGCGGACATGGTGAGTCGGGGGGTGGGGAGAGTGGACGGGGAGAGTGGATGCGGGGGGTCCAGGCGGGGGGAGAGCAGATGTGGCGATCCGGGGAGAGTGGTCGTGGCGAGTGTGGGGGTCTGGGGGAGAGTCGGACGTGGTGAGTGCGGGGGTCTGGGAGAGAGTCAGATGTGGGGGGGTCTGGGGGAGAGTCGGACCGTGGCGAGTGGGGGGGTCTGGGGGAGAGTCGGACTGTGGCGAGTGCGGGGGTCTGGGGGAGAGTCAGATGTGGGGGGGTCTGGGGAGAGTCTCGGATGTGGGGGGGTCGGGGGAGAGTCGGACCGTGGCGAGTGCGAGTGGGGTCCGGGAAAGAGTCGGACCGTGGCGAGTGCGGGGGCCCGGGGGGGGGAGAGTCGGACCTTGGCGAGTGCGGGGGCCCGGGGGAGAGTCGGACGTGGCGAGTGCGGGGGTCCGGGAGAGAGTCGGCCGTGGCGAGTGCAGGGGGGTCCGGGAGAGAGTCAGCCGTGGCGAGTGCGGGGGTCCGGGAGAGAGTCGGACGTGGCGAGTGCGGGGGTCCGGGAGAGAGTCGGATGTGGGGGGGTCCGTGGGAGAGTCGGACGTGGCGAGTGCGGGGGGTCCAGGAGAGAGTCGGCCGTGGCGAGTGCGGGGGTCCGGGAGAGAGTCGGCCGTGGCAAGTGCGGGGGTCCGGGAGAGAGTCGGACGTGGCGAGTGCGGGGGGTCCGGGAGAGAGTCGGATGTGGGGGGGTCCGTGGGAGAGTCGGACGTGGTGAGTGTGGGGGTCCATGGGAGAGTCGGATGTGGCGAGTGCGGGGGTCCGGGAGAGAGTCGGATGTGGGGGGGTCCGTGGGAGAGTCGGACGTGGCGAGTGTGGGGGTCCGTGGGAGAGTCGGACGTGGCGAGTGCGGGGGTCTGGGAGAGAGTCGGACGTGGGGGGGTCCGTGGGAGAGTCGGACGTGGTGAGTGTGGGGGTCCGTGGGGAGAGTCGGACGTGGTGAGTGTGGGGGTCCGTGGGAGAGTCGGATGTGGCGAGTGTGGGGGTCCGTGGGAGAGTCGGACGTGGCGAGTGTGGGGTTCCGGGGTTTAGTAACACTGCAGGTTTTTTTTTCTTTTTCTCCCCCCCCAGAAGCCGTCAAGAACAAACCCAAACCACAGCTGGTGGCCGCTTCCTAACCTCACGCCGCCTTCCTGCGGTCAGAATTCCCGCGCTCTGTGGTCACGGAGGGTGTCCTGTACATCGGATGCTGCATTTTCCTGCATCCTCTTCCCGCGGAGCATCGACCTTCCTCACAGCCCGCTGCTGCTCACGATCCGGACTGACGTGGAAGGATGTAACCTACCCCTCCCCCCCTCCCCGGGGCAGAATCGTCCTCCAGTGTACCTCTGACCTTCCAGCCTTCCTCCCCAGCAGCAGCGGACGGGACGATCGGGAATGTAGCGCTCAGCCGAGAACTCCTTTTGCAGTAATTATGAGCCGGCGTTTCCGTGACGATTTGATGAATTGGACGTGTTGTCTGTGGTAGATCTTTGGGTTAAAAAAAAAAAAAAATTCTTTTTTTTTTTACCAATAGAGTATTGGCCGGACTTTTCCTCCGACTCCGTTATTTGCTTCTTCAGTAGGAGGGGGGGGGAACCCAGACCAGAGAGATACGAGGGTCTTCTACCTTGGGGGGGGCCCCCTAGGAGCCAATCTGAGTGAAGGGGAACCATGACCGGATCGATCGGCCTCCACAGTCGCCTCTGACTGCACCCAACAGATTGCGCGTTGCAGCGGACGATTGCGCGTTGCAGCGGACGATTGCGCGTCGCACGGCTTCCCGTGTATGTCCGGCTACAATCTGTATTCTATATTTGTGTCTCAATACAGTTTTCTTACAATTGGAACGGCTGATCTCTAAGGAGGGAAATGTGAGGGGAGTGAAAATGTTTACTTTTGATTGCTGGCGTTTGTAGTTTTTTTTTCTTCTTCGGGTTTTACTAAAAGCTTTTACTTTTTTTAAATCATTTACTGTCACTTTTTAAATAGCATTTTTTTTTTCCTTCCTAATTAAGGGGCGGGGCTAATTGCTCCCAGGTGATACAGGTCCTATATGACATTTTGCAGAGCGCACTCTGAGCGCGCTCATTCAGCTTGCCTGTATTTTCCTTGCTGGACATTTGATAAGTGGAGTTAAAAATCTGCATTTAGAAAACAGATTATATCCGGAGTCTACTGACCTGTAAGTGACATCTGATATTTCCTGTTACTATTGTACCTGGGATATGAGGTGTAGTGGGGGAGGGGATTGTACAGCGCTGTGCAGTGTTGGTGCTATATAAATCCTGTATAATAATACTGTACCTGGGAGATGAGGTGTAGCGGGGTGGAAGGTTTTGGGCTGAGTACAGTGTGCTGCATGTATGCAGCAATGGAGCCACAACTCCAGGACGGACCCCCCGCTGCGGCAGATTGCCTCCAGGACGGACCCCCCCGCTGCGGCAGATTGCCTCCAGGACGGACCCCCCCGCTGCGGCAGATTGCCTCCAGGACGGACCCCCCCGCTGCGGCAGATTGCCTCCAGGACGGACCCCCCGCTGCAGATGTAAGAGGGTTGCCCTTCTGGACACTCACATTACAGATCTGGAGAAGCAAGTTGCGACAGTCGGCAGAACCGACAACCTTGAAAGGGGTCTTCTGCTCTCTGAGCAGGTAGCTAATGGGATTGGTGTGGAGGGGGGGGGAGGGGCTAATCAGGATTATCAGGTAGGAAGTTAGGTTACTGTAATGAGGGGGGGGGGGCCTCACAGAAAAGGAAGGCCGGCCCTGGGTTTGAGCACCCAAACAGATTTGCCAAGTTGGGTGACGATGTGGGGGTGGCAGCCCTGGATGTCACTGCTATCCCTAACAGGCGAGAGGGCAGACCATCTGGGAGGGGTGGTGAGGGTAGTGCAGGGAGGCCTAGACTGGGGGGGGAGGGTAGTGCAGGGAGGCCTAGACTGGGGGGGGAGGGTAGTGCAGGGAGGCCTAGACTGGGGGGGGAGGGTAGTGCAGGGAGGCCTAGACTGGGGGGGGAGGGTAGTGCAGGGAGGCCTAGACTGGGGGTGGTAGTAGAGGATTCTATAATCAGAAGGACTGATAGAATAATATGTCGCCAGAATCGCCTCCGCTGAATGGTTTGCTGTCTCCCTGGTGCCAGTGTTTGGTATGTGGTGGACCGGGTTGATAAATTACTGGGGGGGGGGGAGGTGGAGGCTTCTTAAAAAACCATTTAAAGAACTCGGCTGCAAGTTGAAGGGAAGGACCTCCAAGGTGATATTCTCTGAAATATTACCTGTGCCATGTGCAACTCAGGAAAGACGGGGAGATTAGAGAACTCCATGCATGGCTGAAGGCCTGGTGTGAGAGGGAAGGATTTGGGTTTCTAGAGCACTGGGCTGACTTTTTATTGGGGTGCAACCTAAATGAAAGGGGTCTGCAGTGCTGGGGGAGGGGTTTATGGGGAGGCTGGAGGAGTATATAAACTAGGATGGAGGGGGGAGGGAGGAAGAATTCGATTATAATGGGGTAGACAGATCAGACGGGTCAGTACTTATTGATGGGGGGAGGGCTGGCTATGGCAGGTGATAAGAAGGTTCCCATGTTACAACCAGTGGAATTGGTACCATTTGTATGACAATAAAAACTACACAAAATCCATGTGAACAAGGTGTCAGTGAATGTACAAGGTGTCAGTGAATGAACAAGGTGTCAGTGAATGAAAGTGTTTGTTCCCCAATGTCAGAAGTGTGCCCAGCACAATAGGTGAGTTGGAAGGTTTGGTGAATGAAGAGAACTAGGATTGAATTGGTATTGCTGAATCTTGGCTTCATTCCTCACATGACTGGGCCATTCATATTCCTGGCTAGGTTCTCTTTCGGAAAGACGGGGGAAATAGGAAAGGGGGTGGTGTCTGTCTCTATGTCAGAAGTGATCTCAGAGCGAGTGTGAAAGAGGACCTAGTTGATGGAGAGTGTGATGAGGCTGAAGTATTATGGGCGAAACTGCACATGGGGGGGGGGTACTACAAAGGTCACCATTGGAGTTTATTATAGGCCTCCCAGTGTTAATGAGGAGGTGGAGACTCAGCTCCTCCCACAGATGGAAAGGGCTGGGACAGTGATAATAATGGGGGATGGTAACTAGCCGGAAACTGACTGGAGTAATGGTACTGCAGGAACAGTTAAAGGACAAAAATCTTTAAACCTACTACAGGACAATCTTATGGTCCAGTTCATAGAAGCCCCAACTAGGAATGATGCTCTGCTGGACCTGGTCATCTCCAACCATGCAGAGCTTATTACGAATGTCCATATAAAAGAACATCTGGGTAGCCGTGACCATAACAGGATTTCATTTATTGTTAGCTGTAAACAGAAAGCACATACAGGAAAAATAAAAATGCTCAATTTCAAGAGAGCTAATTTTCCAAGGCTGAGAGCTGCTCTCCAAGACTTAGACTGGGAGGGAATATTGGCATGGATGAACACAACACAGAAATGGGAGTTCTTCACAAAGACTGTATGTGACCACACTGCAGAATATATCCCCGTGGGCACCAAGTATAAAAGGCTACAAATCCAACCTCTGTGTCTTCCGGCCAAAGTGACAAAAGCGATAGATAAGAAGAAAAGAGTTTTTATTACAGATAACAATGAAGGAACGCCATCATCGTTTACACATTACAGAGAATAGAACGGAAGATGCAGAAAGGAAATAAAGGCACAAAAACTGAAAACAAACCACAGAAAGATATCAGGACGACCCCAAAACATTCCTCCAATCTATGAATAGTAGAAAGGTCTGGTCCCAGCATGTAGGCCCTTTACAGAACCATCTAGAGGGGGGGGACAAAGAGAAGGCCAATGTATGACATCCCTTCTTCAGCTCTGTGTATACAAAGGAACATGGGGGGGCTCTTGTCCATAATGGGCGTGGTACTGACACCCCCCAGATGATCATTGGCTCACAATCGATATGATGCAGAAATATTTAGACAGAATAAAGGTGAATAAAGCCCGTGGACCGGATGGCAGACACCCACGGGGCCTTACAGAACTCAGCTCTGTCATCTCACAGCCATTGTTTCTCATTTTTAGGAACTCTTTAATGACTGGCATAGTACCACGGGATGGGTGTAAGGCCAATGTGGGGCCAATATTTAAAAAGGGGTCAAAATCTCTCCCAAGTAATTACAGACCTGTTAGTGTAACTTCTATAGTTGGGAAGATACTGGAGAGTTTAATAAAAGACCACAGAGAGGAGTTCTTGCTGGAAACAAATATTGTAACCAACAGACAGCGTGGATTCATGAAAGACAGAAGTTGTCAAACAAATCTGATTTCTTTTTATGAGGAGGTGAGCAAAACCTTTGACAGAGGGGTGGCGGTGGGCATGGTATACATGGACACAGGGGGTGGCGGTGGACGTGGTATACTTGGACAGAGGGGTGGCTGTGGTATACTTGGACAGAGGGGGGGCGGTGGACACGGTACACTCGGACGGAGAGGTTTGCAGTGGACGTGGTATACTTGGACAGAGGGGAAGGTGGTGGACGCGGAACACTCGGATGGGGGGTGGCGGTGGACGTGGTTATACTTGGACAGAGGGGTGGCGGTGGACGTGGTATACTTGGACAGAGGGGTGGCGGTGGGACGTCGTATACTCGGGACAGAGAGGTTGCGGTGGACGTGGTATACTTGGACGGAGGGGAAGGCGGTGGACGCGGAAAACACTCGGATGGAGGGGTGGCGGTGGACGTGGTATACATGGACAGAGGGGTGGCGGTGGACGTGGTATACTTGGACAGAGGGGTGGCGGTGGACGTGGTATACTTGGACAGAGGGGTGGCGGTGGACGTGGTATACTCGGACGGAGAGGTTGCGGTGGACGTGTATACTCGGACGGAGGGGAAGGCGGTGGACGCGGAACACTCGGACGGAGGGGTGGCGGTGGACGCGGAACACTCGGATGGAGGGGTGGCGGTGGACGTGGTATACATGGACAGAGGGGTGGCGGTGGACGTGGTATACTTGGACAGAGGGGTGGCGGTGGACGTGGTATACTTGGACAGAGGGGTGGCGGTGGACGTGGTATACTTGGACAGAGGGGTGGCGGTGGACGTGGTATACTCGGACGGAGAAGTTGCGGTGGACGT